AAACCACCTCGCCACCTGTTGTGAGGAGAGCAATAGAGACTGCAGAGCGCCCCCTATGCGGCCGCCTCCGAAAGCAGCAGCGACGCAGCATCATCAGCATCAAAAGCCCCATCAAGAGCGACAGCAGCATCAGCACAGGCGTCATCGGCATCGTCAGCACCGCCAGCGTTGGGTCCAGGGCCCAGTGGCCCACAGGTGGGAAAGCACATACATTCACACGTGTGTCACTCAGTGTCCTTTATTGCATTGGCAACATGTATCCGTTGAGTCACTGCTATGATATAAAGACACATAACACTACTAGCGGGCAATACAGGCTAACACTGGCTTTCAATGGCCAACTATTGGCTAACGTCGTCTCGTGCTAGCTACAGCCCAGATGCCACAAAGAACGTGCTACCCCTGACAATAGTCAGTGCCATTAACGCGTGAGAACAAGAACGTGTACACTGGCAAAAAAAAAAAAGTGGTTCGCGCAATACCTACCCCATTTATATTGATAATATGAGCACTCGCTAGCATTCACTAGCGTTAACTAGTTTGGGCTCTAAATGCCGTTGAAGGTAAGTTGAGGTAATTAGAGATCGTGCTATATCCTTTCTCACGCATGTTGCACTTGTAGAATGCCGCAAGCTGGCGCTTGCGGCTTTTTGTAACAAAGAAGTACTTGAGAGGTATCCAGTACATAGTGTACAAGAATTCAGTGCCAAATTACCAATAAAGTTCCTTTTTTTCCCGACAATACTGGCTTTGGCGTAGGCCCATATTTGCTTCTGAAGTTGGATGCTTTCATAGTCGGCCGATAATTATACCAAACCTAACCATAAATAATGCCATCCTGTCTCATAAATTTTAGTACCTCAAAACAGCAGCAGGAAGTCTTGCAGTTTTTCGGGTAAAGTATGCGCAGGGCTCACTGTTGCTCTTCGCCTGACACTCAGTGGACGGCTAGCGAAGTTCGTAATAGTTCAGGTTCAACAACCAGTTACAGATTCGTCAATGTTGTTGTTGTTGTTGTTGTTGTTATTGTTGTTGTTGTTGTTGTTGTTGTTGTTGTTGTTGTTGTTGTTGTTGTTGTTGTTGTTGTTGTTGTTGTTGTTGTTGTTGTTGTTGTTGTTGTTGTTGTTGTTGTTGTTCCTTACAAATGTACCCCTTTGACCGCATAGTACCACTGACCTCACACTGGAGCATTCGGGAAGGCACCACCCTACTGACCAACAAACCATAATTCCAGCCGGTCAGAAAAAATGTAAATGGATGACATCCTCCTAGTTTGAACTTGCAAATCTAAACTGAACTTCGAGGGAAGGTAATTACTGCGATAGTATGAGAAACAAGAGTGAAGATTGTAGAGATACAACATAGTACCTGACACAATCTTGTCATTTGTATATGCGTACTCAGTGTGCCACAGTCATGCCTGTATGAGAAACTGTATCAGGTTTACACAAATGGTTTGAGTACTCTCTGAGAATTAGGCTCTTTTAACCAGGGGGGCAGTTTAAGCTCGCTGTTATCATGAACGACCTCGCAAGAGAGGAGCATGTAAGACATTACAAGGGCAAAGTAAACCTGTTGTTTATCGTCAGGTGGGAGAAAGTGCCTTAGTTTGTTTACTAGCCAGATTCCTTCAAAGACACTACTCCTTAGAGAGTGCACATGTGGTGTCCACTAAAAGTTTTCGTGAAACAATACAGAGTTTCTGAATTGGGCGCTCAAGGCATTGGGTCCCCAAGATGCGTTGCGTAGGTCGCTCTTGCGTTCGGAGGATCAGTAGCGTTTGAGAATTGGGTCAGATGCCCGGCCCTACACTCGTGACCAAATTAAAATTATGTGACCTCGCGGACCATACGGCACCGTTGCTCGATCTGCGTCTACTTCGTCTCGCTGGCGGACTAAGACGTCTTGGAGACCCACGCTAGTTTTCGAATTTCGGGCCTTGAGTCAACACGAACGCAAGGGCCCAAGATTGGCTCGGGTTTTGCGCCGGCGCCCTGGCGAGTCGCAAACTTCTTGGGTCTCCAAGCTCATTGCGGGGCCCCAGTCATCAAACTGCCTATTGGCGTGGTGTGCGACTGATGGCGGCGCTGTGAACCACGCTTGTATGATGTCAGTTTGATGATTTGCGCTCTTTCGACCCGCGGAGCTGTATATAAATATTGTCAAGGTAAAACTCCGCAAAGACGCAGTTGAGTTGGGTATCTGGAGTGGTGGTGGCTACCGACGCCGTTCTAAGAACCACGGGTACCCGCTCTTATGTGGAAGCACTCACTCGCAACACAGCGCCGGGGGTCGTCCCGCTACGTCCAAGGTTTCTCCTCCCGGAAACTCTAGCGTCAGCTGACCGTACTTCATCAATACTTCTTCGCTGGCGGCACATCGGCCCCTCACGCGCTGCTACTGCAGGACACGCCTTCGTTCGCTGGCGGAATACACACACTTCATCTCTTGATCGCCACCCTCCGCTGCTTGATTATACGCACTAGCTGCTGGGTTCTTTAAATTTGCAAGCTTTTTGATGGCGCACCGCACAGCCAAACATCGGAGAAATAGCGACATCTTTCTTGTATGTTTTGCGCACCGCCACGCAACTCCGCAGCATCACGCCCCTTTCCTTTCAGGTGTTTCTACAGTTCGCTCAGCATTATATCCGAGGAGGTTGGTCAGCGTGGCCGCGGCTCTTTCGAGGAATGGAGGAGGCGTGCACACGGCGGCTTTTGATGCTTTTTTCTTCGTTGCACCAGTTTCTGTAGCGGCTGCTCGGTGTCTGGTTTTCCCGTAACCGTTAGAAATCGGAGGCGCGCGCTTTCTTGAGCGCTCGTTCTTGACACTGGGGCTTATTGCTCTTGACTGCTTACCTGAAAATAGCGATCTCTAATACCGGCCACGACCACCGCATTTTCATGAAGGTGAAATGGTAGAGGACAGCGTACTTACATTGTGGTGCAAGTTGAATCAGACCGGCTATAGTCAACATTGTGGTAACCCTTTCCTATGGCATCTCTCCTAACCATATCGTGATTGTGGGAAGCAAAAAAAACGAACAATGATTGTGGAATTTTTGTAAAGCCTCATTCAGACCGACTGCTGGCAGTCCAATGACGGCTTTTAAATGGCGACATAAAACAGCAACTTAGCCCCGCCGCAGTGTTCTAGTGGCTAAGGTACTCGGCTGCTGACCCGCAGGTCACGGGATCGAATCCCGGCTGTAGCGGCTGCATTTTCGATGGAGACGAAAATGGCGTATGTCCGTGTGCTTAGATTTGGGTGCACGTTAAAGAACCCCAGGTGGTCGAAATTTCCAGAGCCTTCCACTAACGCGTCCCTCATAATCATACGGTGGTTTTGAGACGTTAAACCCCACAAATCAATCGAAACAGCAACATAAGGGAACCGATATTCATGCCTGCGTGATAATGATACCCGTGGCCAAATATAATTCGAGACTGCTTGCATTGCCATTGCACATCTAAATAAGCCCACACCTTTTTCTTGCGCACCTCATCGTTTCAATTTCATAAGTGGAGTCGCGCGCGACTCCAAAATGGAGCGCGAGTTACCAGGGCCAAGCATTCGCTCGGCGACCATGGCGTCCATTTGCAACTTTATGCGACTACCTTGGTCACGCCAAAGTGTTCACTTTAGCGTTTCGGTAATGAACTTGAGGAAGGTACTAATAGTCTTGCATTCTATCAAGACAAATTTCCTCATAGCCAATGACTATAACTTTCCTTCTCTTGTGTTTGTGGTGTCATGTGTTAATTTTCATGGGTACATACGCGTGTGTATTTTTTCAATATATTTGAGTTGATTGCACTTTGTGTACGTGTGCACGATTTCGCGGTTCCTGTTCTTTGCGCTACCTTTGAGGACGCAAATCGTATAGGTGTTGACAAGCCCTCGCCGCCTGCAAGTGTCCCGTTTGACGGACAAGAGCGTCGCCGCTCGGTCTGCGCATGCGCAGGGCCCCGTGAAAGGCCACCACCATATTCCCGAGGACGCCCAGCTCGCCGCATGTGCTGCAGCTGGCGTCGGCTGCGGCCGCCGCCGGCTCGCCTCCGCCGTCGGCCGCGAGTGCGGCCACGCTGGCGGGAGTGGGCAGCCTGGCCGCGGGGGCGGCACCCGGCGCAGCGGGCTCGCCCGCCACGCTGCCGCTGGCCGCCGACGATCGGGGCAAGCTGCTGGCCGTGGCCGGCATGCCCGTGAGCCCCAAGGGTGGACGCCGGCGCTCCGTCATCGCCGAGCTGGTCAACCCTGGCGGGGGGGACAAGGTGAGCGATACTGTAGATTAGAGTGGATGAGAATAGACAGACAGACAGACAGACAGACAGATAGATAGATAGATAGATAGATAGATAGATAGATAGATAGATAGATAGATAGATAGATAGATAGATAGATAGATAGATAGATAGATAGATAGATAGATAGATAGATAGATAGATAGATAGATAGATAGATAGATAGATAGATAGATAGAAATTTTTATATCGCTTTGTGCCCAGCTTCGCACGCGGCCCGCCACACCTTTGGAGGCGAACCCGATCTCCCAGTTCTACGAGATCGGCCGCCAGACTGCCTCAGCGGGACCCGAGCTCATATGGAAGATCTACGACGCGCAGCGCAAGTCTGACAAGAGGGTGAGTACCACAACCAACTTTACATTTTTTTGGTAATGTTATTATTCTCACGAGCATGGAATGAGACTCGGCTGTACCGTTTCACTGCTGGCCGACTTGTATGTGCCACTCTGGAAGATAAAAGAAGAACAAAAATGGAAAAGAGAAGGCCTTCATGAAATCCGAGTCATATTTTATAAATATAAATCGTTCTCATGCTGCATCAGACTTTAACATACAAGTGTTTTAGTATTAGGAACACGTCACTCGTATGAGTAGTTCTCGTAACTATGGGGCCTCCGAATGTATTACGTATCTCGTCTTGTTACCTTTGTGCCAAGGAAGAGTTTATTTCAAAATAAAATCACGTTTTTGTGTTCCACATCGGGTTGGCACACTTCGAATTACCTGCCTCAAGAAACGCACCATCTCACGTCATGATTGCCATGCACAACGTTGCCCGGCTTAACTGCGTGGCCGCCGGCAACAGTAGTAGCAGAACGCAAGCAGCGGGAGCCACAGCAGCAAAAAAAAAAAAAAAAAGGCCATTGATGAATTTTTTGCCATTGGCTCCGAGATGGCGGTCGTGTTTTGGTTCGACTGGGTCCCGCTAGTTGGCACGACCTGTCCAGTTCAACCACGTGAAAATTGAGTTTTTGACCGACCTGCACCATTCCCCATGGTAACGTCCGACGGTTCTTTTTTGCGCTAACCAAACAAAAACTAACAAGCAGCATTTTATTGCATCTTTTATGCATGGAAGATCTTTTATTTAGTGCAGCAAGATCAATTACTAGTTGGTAATTGTAGGTGGTTCTTCTGACGTCATCGAGATTGAGAATGTCCTACTGCGGCGTATGTATTCTTGTGCATTTACCTTAATTTTTCGGTTATAGGGCGCTGCAGTTGATAATATTGTTGCTTTAGACGTTGTCATACATGGAGATTTTACCCTACCGTAAATTTTTATCTGAATGTAGTGTCCCTTCAAGTATGGTTGCGGTCATCTGTAAATATCGTTTGGGTGGCTTCGACCTGGAATACAAAAGCCTGTCATAAAGTATACTAGCATCCAGAAACTTGTCTTTTAGCATTCACCTCTGGTTGTTATCTTTAGAGATTCACCTTCATGGGTGCAGCGGCCCTCAATCAACCTGTTAATGCAACCATGTTTAGCACTCAATCTACTATAGGAAGAACGCTTCTCTACTGATAGCTCCTTTTCTAGACCATTTACCACACCCTTGAAATTCCCACCCACGTTATACAAGTTCTCCGGCTCCCTCATTTCTATATGGGCACTTGGTACTCAGCCATAAGCAGTATTCAATTACAATTTTTTCCTTTTATGTACTTCAACTCTCCGTAGGTGTGTCTTTCCCTGTGACCAATACTTTTTGTGATTTATTGTGGTGGGCAAACGAGCGAGGCATAGCTCAGAGTTTTAATTTTAAGACTTTGTCACAGAAAATTTGTACTGCAATAAAAATTATTAACGCAGCTCTACAAACCTCTGTATGTTTTTTTTTGTTCCCGTCGTATGACGTTTGAACCCACGAATTTATAAACCCAATCTGATTTTAGTTAATGATCGTGTTCGGTGTAGCTTTCTTGAACAGAAACTCACAAAAAGTACCAAAGAACGCTAGTATTTCATTTCAAATTTGATATGCAATACAACTGTCAGAGAACAAAGGGAGACAGAACCGCCGCTTGTCCTCTTTGTATGCGTACCTTGCCCCATTCTTCGTTCTGTATTCTGTGCGAATGTTCTTAAGGGGCGGGTGTTTTAACACTCAAGAACTGTGCCTCAAGATTCTGGTATAAGTGCGATATAGAACGAATAGGCAGGCTTGCCTTAGAAGCTCACGGGAATACACCAAATTAGGGAGTAGAAGGTGACATGGGATGGACGTCATTTAAGGGCAGGGAAGCTAGCAGCAAGACAAAATTTGAGAAGCGATTGAGAGAAATGGGGGAGGAGCGTTGGGCTAGGAAGGTATTCAGCTACTCGTACATGAAGAATGTCAATACAAAACGAAGGAAGTGAACCGGAAAGTGGAATGGCAAATACTTGGAAAACAGCAGGGGGCCAAAACAAAAAGATTTATCGGTTAAGAGGAAGGTGAAGGAAGCTGAGACCGATATGTGTAGAATTGGCATGATTAAGAAGTTCGCACTAGAGATCTATCGAACCTTTAAGCAGGAAATTGCAAAGGAAAGTATATGATAATACTCGGGGTAGTTCTCTACTGTTTGAGGCCAAGAAGGGAGTATGGCGAACGAAGACATTTATAGCCAAATACGAAGGCACAGACATGGTAGGTAGTGCGTGTGGAGAGGAGGAAGAAACGGCTGTACATTTGATAACGTTCTGTACAGGGCTCCACCCTATAGCCGAAGATAATGGCGCCGAATTTTCTAAAGTATTGGTGTTTAGGGACAGTGAAGGCAAAGTAGACTTTAAAAGGGTAGAAATAACCAGGAGGAGGCTAACTGATTGGTGGCTACGATCGAGGCGCGAGTGAAATTCAATCCATAAACACACAGTGATAGTACTTAACTTTATGGCTAGGTGGCGTGAGCCACCGTCCGATCTAAAGGGCATAGCCGGATACATCCACCCATCCAACCACGTGAAAATTGAATTTTCGAACCATTCCCGCCATTCCCCATGGTAACGTCTGGCGGTTCCTTCTTACACGAATCCAACAAAAACTAACAAGCAGCATTTTATTGCATCTTTGGTGCACGGAATATTCTTTATTTAGTGCAGCTAGATCGATTACTAGTTGTTACATGTAGGCTGTTTTTCTTACGTCATAGGGATTGAGAATGTCCTACTGCGCCGCATGTATTCTTGTGCATTTACCTTAATTTTTCGGCTATAGGGTGCTGCAGTTGATAATATTGTCGCTTTAGACGTTGCCATACATTGAGCTTTCATCCTGACGTAAATTTTTATCTGACTTTGGTGTCCCTTCAAGTATAGTTGCGGTCATCTGTATTTATCGTTTTGGTGGCTTCGCCCTGGTATACAAAAGCATGTCATTAAGTACACAAGCATGTAGAAACTTGACTTTTAGCATTCACCTTCCGTGGTTATCTTTAGAGATTTGCCTTCATGGGTGCGTTGGCCCTCAATCAACCTCGTAATGGTAGGAAGAACGCTTCTCTACCTACTCAAATTATATACAATACAACTGTCAGAGAACAAAAAGAGACGCATACAGACAGGACAGCCGCTTGTCCTCTTTGAATGCGTACCTTGCCCCATTCTTCGTTCTGTTTTTTTTTTTCGAATGTTCTTAAGGGGTGGGTGTTTTAACACAGCAAGAACTGTGCCTCACGATTCTGGTATAAGTGCGATACAGAACGAATAGGCACGTTCAACAGCTGGCAATGACACAGCCGAAACTACGAACCCTTTGCGAATGTAGATATATTTTTCAGTGCCGCAATCTCGAGAGCCTACCTGTAGTTTCGAACCTGAATTACGGCATGCTCGCTCACACCAATGGTAGGGTTGAAGAGCCTAGAGACTAAAAGAAAACAAAAAGAAAAGTAAAAGTAAGAGTGAGTCTTTGGGCGATATTGGGTGTATTGCTTCCGAAGATATAAATAGAAAAAGGTCTAACGTGAAAGCGAACGCAACCTTGCCGAGTGATTCAACCCAGAAACGGTTCAAGACTCCTCAAAGCTCACCTGTCGCGGAGCACGCTGGAAGAACTGAAAGGGCTCTCTTGTTCCTTCGTGTTTGCACAAATGGGGCGAACCCGAGTTTGAGACCTGCCTTCGGGCGTCTACGTATAGGGATCGTCGAACGTCCTTTCTGCTCAAGCTCGTCCAGGTTTCGCATTCGAAGATTTTTGTGCTCGAAGCGGAATGCTCTAGGACATGCTCTGTGCCTTTATTTTTTTCTTCGATCTTTTTCTTCAAACTTTTTCTTTTGGTTCTTTACTGTATGGGAGTTAGTTTCTTTTCTTTTTTCGCTCACCTTTTCGAATTGCATCCAATTTTCAGGAATCTGCATCAAGAAAGAAAGAAAAAAAAAGAATTCAATGAAGATAGATAGATAGATAGATAGATAGATAGATAGATAGATAGATAGATAGATAGATAGATAGATAGATAGATAGATAGATAGATAGATAGATAGATAGATAGATAGATAGATAGATAGATAGATAGATAGATAGATAGATAGATAGATAGATAGATAGATAGATAGATAGATAGATAGATAGATAGATAGATAGATAGACGGTCGGACGGACGGACGGACGGACGGGCAGGTGGGCGGACCAACCGACCGATGGATTGATGGATAGATCAATGGATGGATTGATGGATTAATGAATCGATGGATAAATGGATGGATGTAACATTCCCTTGTAGGAGCTCAAAAATAAGCTCTGTCTCTTACAGTGCTAGGAAGAATGTTGCGCTTAGAGCCCCTGTCCAAAAAATGTTTCTTTACGTGTGAGGCGCATGAGCGAGTCGTTAACGTGGGAGCTGTAATAAAGGGAAACAGTTTATTTGCACTTCAGCACCTCGAATTCACATGAACTCAGCGGAACCTTCACTTAGCATACCATACCACTACTGTACGATTTGCATTAAAGTTAGGCTGACGTTACATAATTATTCATGTTTTGTCGGCGAAGGTGGTTGAGCCGCGTCACTGGTTGGCCAGCAACCTTGCCCTTGTACCACTTTTTAAATGCGAATGCATTTCTCAGTCGGGCTATGTCAGGCATCAGGCGTTGTCCGTGGCCGTGTCCGCACGCCATCAGGTGTTCTCTCCGCTCTCACTCCCTCTCTCATAGCAAGAGCTGTTGGCACGCGCGCTTATCCTCACTCCTAGTAACCGAATCGCGTGGGGCCAGAGAATGTAGGAGAGGGTCGGCGCACTGCTTCGCCGCTCCTTCTCTCGCCATTCTCTCTCTCTTCTTTCAGTTCCCCACTCTCCCGTCCGCTCGCGCCTCATTCTCGACCGTTCGCTGGCTGGCCGCCTCTCA